AACTAATCAATTCCCAATATAGGTAGGTCTTAGTGTTTTAAACTAAGCCATCCCTAATATGACACCATCCCATACCGGTTTATATATATCCATATAAGTAGGACTTAACCTTTTTATGGTTAATCCAACTCACTCCAAATTAGGTAGGATTTGATACTTGAACTAATCCATACCTAGTATGTCACCATCCCATACCGGTACATACAATCCTCCAGTTAACATAGTTGACAAAAACAATATTAAATAATTATCAACCACATTCCACAGTATGCACAAGATAAGTTAATCTATATACATAAATATTAGGCATTCAATACCGAGCCTAAAATCCAACTCCAATAATGTAAACTGCTATAAGAAATATAACCATCCTCCAAAATATGCATCCATATAAATTCATACATATAACAATATTAGGTATTTACTACGGAACCTAAATATCATGCTCCAGTAATTTAAATAGCTATAATAAGTCATAACATTTAAATTCTACATAAAATCCATAAACTGGTATAACTTAGTATAATTGAAGTACCAATTAAATCCAACATAAGTATAATTGATTTTTTATTAATTCACCATACTCAACACTGTGGAAAATATAATTTTACATAATTAAATCCATACAACTTGCTAAGTTCTAGTTCTTGAAATTGACAAAGTTAAACTACACCACTAACTTCTCCAAACAGTACAATAATTAATGTAATGTTACAACAGTGTTTAACATCAGTTAATTCCTGTAACGACCTAGCTCCGCATGGATCCGGATCATTAAATGGGTCCTTACCCGACCGAAAAACATCCTAGGGTGAAACGGTCTTTTCACATTAAATTTAAATATCAAGGTTCGAAAAGGGCAAAATGGTAATTTACCACAATTCAATAATTTGAGACTCAAAGGGTATAACAGTCATTTGCTGCATCACATAATAAATAAAATAAGGTTCAGGGCAATACAGTCCTTTCGGTAGTTAAAATGTAATTATTTCACTTATTTGGGTCATAAAAATAATTACGTGCAACCTCACTTGAGTGCCAAAGTGTAATTTTGGGAAACTAAACACATATTACTTAAGTGACATAAACAGGTCGACATATATGCATCATACGTCGATTGGTTTAGGGTATGAACAGTGGAAATACCTACTGCCAAGATACGGATCGACGTATGAGAAGCCATACGTCGACTGGTTTGGAACGTATTCAACATTAACCCACACTGTGAAGATACCGGTGAAGCTATACGTCGACCAGTTCTGGGAAATCTTCACTTCCACTTCCCACTGTGCTGTGTAACCCATAAACACCAACCTTTGGTAATTCAAACACCCACGCCACTACACTTACGTGGAATTTTAATACATTTCAACAATAAATTCAATAGCAACAACCACGTTATTAACATAATTTACCACACGTTACTAAAATACACTAAATGATTTGGTGTAATTAAAAGTTAATTACATTTTCTCAATGGCTATAAATACAAACTTATTTACATTCCCAAAACTACCATTACACATGAAATGGCCAAATACAAAATAGCAAAAATCATCTTCTAACGACTTTCAAGCTTGCGGAGGATTTTCATCCGCCATTTCCTTGCCATGACCTGAAAAAAAATATATAAGTATGGTGAGGTGAGCAATTTGCTCAGTAGGTGACACCTAAGACGCACCTCATGAGACCCCGTGAATCCAAAACAAAAAATAGGCCAATAGGAGTTGGGGTCATACAACATAGGGGAGAATACCATATGATTATCATTCTCAACACAAATAATATGATACAATGGAGATGCAATGCATGCCGATGTCGCTCCCCATTTTCACAATCAGAATCATCGCTTTCAACTATTAATACAGCCCACCCTTTGGTGACCCCGCAGCGACACAAGAGGAACCCTTGGTACCCCCGTAGTGTCATTATGGGGCCCAGCTAGCTCAACCACGCTAGGGCGACTCCCTAGTCCCCTCTAAGCTATATTAACCTCCGGCCCTTTGGTACCCCCGCGGCGACCGAGTTTTTCAAAACACTTTCATCAAAACATTTTTTCCCAAAACTCCCCATTTTCATTTCAAAAACAATTTATTCCCTTCATGCAACCCAATGGTGTACATGCATGTCTCATGATCTCAATACTATGAAAATGAGGAATTTGACACAACACAAGTAAGCATGTTCTCGTAATTCTAATATTTAAACAATAATGGATTATCACAAAATACAATAGGGCATGCTTTCATATACCATTCATAGCATGTGAACAATACAATAGGCATAACTCACAATATAAGCATGCTTTTCAAATAGTGCAATTAAGACAAGTCTTCACATATTCACATATATACATTCAAGACATTTTTAGGTACAATTAACACAAATAAGCATGCTATAACACAATTCAAGTAAATTAATTCACAAAGGTGTATGAATAATGTGAATTAGGAAGCCCTTACCTCAAATTGAGCAAAACCCTTAAAATGATCAAGAATTTCGAAATCCAATGGAAGCACCAAAGCTGAAATTGTTGGTATCAATGTGTAGAGCTCATCGTGCTCTCCGTTTTTCCTCAAACGTCTCTCAATTTCACCAAGTATTGAGTGAGTTATCTCGTTTCTAAGACTGGAAACCAAAATGAAAAAGAAAACAAAGAGCAAGAGGGAGAGAGAGAAACACACGGGAGAGAGAGAAGTAAGAGACCAAAAATATGGTCTCTAACTTAAATTTGGGATGGTGGTGGGTCCCGCCACTATTTCTTTTCTTTTCCCTTTTTTCTTTTACTTCAATTCTTACACCACACACATAAATGTACCCCATACAAATATCACTTAACCCATATAATTTTAAATGCACAAAATGCTAATGGACCTAACCACAATCCCGAATACAACATGCGAAAAGACAGAAATGCCCTTGCGGCGACAAAAATTCCAGAAAATGAAAAATGCTAAAAATCAGAAACGTCGCAATTCCAACTAAGCCACATATATTTAGACTAATATATGTTTTTAACACAGCTAAAAATATAATTCATAATTTAAGATCATACAGAGAAACCAAGTGCTAAAACAATAGGCAATTTAAGTTAATTATTTAATTATCCACCTATGGGTCCTTTGTTTAAACTTGAATTAATTCTCATCCTCAATATCTGAATGTGAGCTTGCTTCTCAACATTTTTATAAGTCCTAAACATTTAATTACAACATTCAGTAGCTTTAAATAGTTCCAAAAAATCCAATTTCAACCAAACGAACCTTAAAAACCATTTTCTGTGCCTTTAAGAGAGAGCAGGCTCTAAAACTTTTGGAGCCTGCTCTTTTCCATCTAGAGCCTGCTCTAGATTCTTTAGAGCTTGCTCTAACACACCAAGAGCCGACTCCACCTCTTTGGGAGCCTGCTCTCCTTTCCCTTAGCAGCCGTTGCCCGTTTCAGCGTCTTCTTCTCCAAGTCCGGTAATTAACAGAGCCTCTGTAGTATTTTTAAATCCTTGTTCTAGGTTCAATCTTAGTCCTAGATAAGTTTAAACCACTGAGATCCAATCCTAACATGTGTAGGAACACAAGTTTTAAAGCCACATTTACAAAACCTCCGTGAGAAATTTTTAAGCAAATTACAACAGATTTAATTCAGAGTAATTTAGTGAAATTAAATAATGTTCCAAGCACTTGTTTTAGAGTTCAAACTCAGTACTAGAGTGATTACAAGGCATCCAACATCCTACTAATCTCAATTAAAATAACGCTTAACCGTAAACCACAGCAAGAACAAATAGCAGATTATCAACAATTTTTGCAAAGCAGTTAATTCACGAGAGTAAACGAAATTCATACATGTATATAAAACTTGTTATAAAGTTTATTTAAGTCCGTTTTATCCTTGTTTTAATCCCTGGAGTCTAACTAGGCATGCACAGAACACGAATTAACGAGAAAGAGAAGAACAGAGACTTGCCTTGAGATTTTGGATTAAAATCTCTAACTATCGTCTTTATCAACTCCGGCAACGTTAGTTGTGTAACTACCTCTGCTGCTCCTAATTCAGTCCCGAACTCCTCCTTGAATCCCTCCTTTAATCTCTTAAGGTTCTCTCTGTATTTTGTCTCACAAAACACACTCAGTTGTTCCCTGTATTCCCTCTGTATCTTATATACGTGAATATGGTGAATAGGGTTTACAAAAAACCCTTAGCAGACGTATACTTATGTATTTATAGGCTTTATGTGAAACCCTAAATTCAAATCCTAAACCAAATATAAGTCGGCTAAAACCTAAGACACGATTTAATTTAAGCAAAATCCTAAGTCAATTCACGTAATTAATTTAATCCATTTTAAAATAAAATATAATTACGTACACATGAGATTAAAAATAATTAACCACATAACATAAAAATAAAACTATTTAATTTAACGAAAATAAAACACAAGTAAATAATAATAAAACAACAAGTAATTCAAATAAAAACACTTAAATAATTAAACCAATTAAAATAATTCAATAAAATGACACATAATCAAATAAAATGTAATTAAATACAATAATTAAATTCCAGAATTGTCTTTTTAAAATTAGGGATATTACATGAACCCTGAGAAGACATGGCCTAGTGCGCTTGGTACCACTAGGCCACTCCCTGTTGTTATTAAGGATGAATTGCAATAACAATAGAAATAACAATAAAAATGGTAGTAACATGTCTGGAAATTTTATCAGGAAATGGTAGTAACATGTCTGGAAATTTTATCAGGATGCATCAGAGGTTTAAATAAGGTCATTCAAAGACTGGAGAACCTTGCAAAAGTGTGAATCTAAGACCCAAATGGTACACAACAGACTAATGTTAATCATTTTGGTTATTGTTATCATTACTATTAAATAAAGACCATTTTCTTTCTGTATCCTCAGTCCTACTGGAAGGAACCACCTCTTACCCTCCCTCCTTTTACTTTCTTTGAATCACTTCTTATTCCACTTCGGTACAAATTACGATTAATGGAGACTTTAGCTATGAAATTCTTTATTTCTAATGGGATTCATGCTGCAGGATTTCCAATTAAAGCCGGGACGATTAGGTTGTCACCAACAATGCCAGCCACGAGCACGGCACACTTGGCACGGAGCTGCATCGGTGACTTGACCACCCAGAAAATTGTTTTTGAAGTTACAGTGAAAAATACCAAATCTCTGAAAGCAGCAGACTGGCTGATTTGCAACTCATCTTATGAGCTAGAGCCTGAAGCTTTTACCCTGTTTCCAAACATCTTACCAATAGGTCCACTTTTGGCAAGCAATCGGCTTGGAAACTCAGCAGGCTCTTTCTGGCCAGAAGACTCAACCTGCCTGAAATGGCTTGATCAACAGCCACCCAGGTCAGTCATCTATGTTGCATTTGGGAGCTTCACAGTCTTTGACCACAATCAGTTCCAAGAACTGGCTCTGGGACTTGAACTCACCAACAGGCCATTCCTATGGGTTGCGAGGCCAGATTTAAACAGAACATCTATGTGAAATTATTGCCTATCATAATCAACAATGAGGCCTAGAAAATTAATTGCATTGCCTAATATTTCAATTCTAGTTTAGCTCATCTTTGTGTTTGCATATATATATATATGCCTGTTTTAGCCCAAAATGGTTTGTGGAGTTTTGCTTCAAACACAGATTACAGTACTAGATACATATATATATATATATATATATCTTTATTTGTGTGCCTAAGAATTAAGGAAACTAATTTTTACCCTTTGCCCATACAAGTTAGCAAATATGTGGACTAAGATATGAGAGCAAGGGAACGGATCTAGACAAGATCTCTTCAAGCATCTACAGGTATTAATCCTATGGCTACTAAGACTCCACATCAATAACTTATTTCACTACTGAATACGTTTGGATTAAAGCACATCAAGCCTTACGTTTTTCCAACCAACTTTCCTATTAGGAATCAGTTTCCTTCTTATAATTGAATTCTTCTCTCAAAACCAGTCAATCCTTCTATCAATCTCACATAGCATGGATATTTGGAAATTGGAATTATTTTAAGGGATTTTGTAGAAATCTCAAATTTGGACAATACTAATTTTTCTAGAATTTGTAAATAGAAATATAAGTTTGATTAATCTTATAAATCTTCAATTGTAACAATCAAAGATTGTTGATGGTTGAGAAAATCGAAAAAGAAAGTTTCAGGGTAAGAAAATTATTTTAAGGGTTTATGTAGAAATCTCAAATTTAAGCAATACTATTTTTTTTTAGAATTTGTGAATAAAAATATATGTTTGATTAATCTTGCAAATCTTCCATTGTAAAAATCAAAGATTGTTGATGATAGAGAAAATCGAAAAAGAAAGTTTAAAAACGGTAAGAAAGTTATTTTAAGGGTTTATGTAGAAATATCAAATTTGGGCATTAATAATTTCCTATAATTTGGGAATCGAAAAAGAAAGTTTTAGTGCATTCAGTAATGAAATAAGTTGTTGATATGGCACATTAATAGTAATAGGATTAATGGAGAGAACTTTCCTTAGAAAGGATCCGTTCCTAGAGAGCAAATAAACTGTAAACCATGTTTGATGACAAAAATTTACCAAGTTGGGGGTTTGAATTTCTTTGGGACCAGACTCAAGGGAATGTTAGATGAGAGAAAGGGACCTTTTTTAATGCCATATAAATTTCACAAGTTGGGAGTTTGCATTTCTTTGGGACCACGCTTAGGAATGTGAGATGAGAAAATGCATGTGATCAGTGGTGGATTATGAGTTGTCCTAAAAGGCGTGACACCACAATTGTCAGAAGAAAAAAAATGTCACAGAATCATATCATTTAGCACGTCACACCACATGAAGGGCCACGCTGGATTAGAATGTTCTCACTTATATTGGCCACGACAAAAGTTTTACACAGGCTGTATCAAAATGTCCTCATTCTCCCCAGTAAAAAAAATGCTTGTCAACTCTTGCACCGAGTGGTCTGTGTGCCTTTGCCCTAAGAGGTGCGACGACACAATTTATTTATTTATTCATTAGTAACAAATGATCAAGAAAACAGACAGCCTAACAACCAAATTGAACCACATTTTGCAGGGAAATAGCAGCAGCATCAAGAGTCTGAAACTGAAGTTGTTTAGCTACTTCTGCAACAGACCTTTGAATCCCTTTATGAAGCCTGGCATTTCTTTCATTCCACAGAGCTCAAACACCAGCAGAAAAGAACATTCTGTTCAACTTAGCCGATAAATTTTTACATGGTCCACGCCAATTACAACTCGACACGCAAGCAAATATTTCACTTTTATTCAAATTTTTGCTAGGGTGTTGAGTTGTGTGATTGGCCAGGATCATGTATTCCTGTAATAATTTCTCCAACCTGGCCCTAGAGCTATCAGCAACAAAAGCCTTGATGCACCAAGCCACAAAAGCATGGAAAGAAGACTGCCAGTTCCAATTGAGCATATCAGCAAGCCAATTCCAAACAGGGAAAATAGAAGATTTTGAAATGAGAAAATACGTATAAATATATATATATATATATATATATATATATATATTTATACCTATTTTCTCATTATATATATATATATATATATATATATATATATATATATATTACACTACCAGAGGTTTCGCTCTGGTACCAAATTTATTGAACCAGCATACGTGAAAATAGATTTAATTTTATTTAACAAAAAAAAAAAAATAGATGTAATTTTAATTGAATTTCTAGTATGAAAAAGAGATGTCTACAATGCTTAGTGTAGATCTCTTTTGGCTTAGCGAAAGTGCATATGAACAATTACATCTAAAAAAACAATGTACCACAAATCAGATTGATTGAACATTGCCAACCATTAGAAGGCAATCAAATTCTTCCAATTGTGGAAAACCTTTTTATAAAATTTTCAAGGAAAACTATGCATAAATCCAATCTCCCAATGCTAGGTCCCACTTCTTTCTGGCTGCTAGACATGTGTTGATAAAGGAATGTCACATACATGCAAGGTAAGCAAAAAGCATTAAATTTTTATCCTTAATAATTCTAATACTTCCACAGAATGAAATATATATAGTTATATTATCTAGGACAAGAGATGCATAACAGAACAAAACTGAAGATAAGATATTCCTAGGGAGAGAGAATGATATATAGTATAAAGACAAGGGAAATTTGGAAAATATCAGTAAAGACAAAATAAATATCAGACATGAGAAAAATGACAAGGAAGTGTAGTTTAATTCAACTTTGAGACTCATAAGAAACCAAAGAAAATGGACAAAATTTTAGCATACAATTCTCAATCATATATGCCTTAAGACTAACTAATGTGTGAAGTACTTGTTATACTAGTAAAATCTGCAGAGACAGAAAAAGAAGAAAAATGGGCAAGCCACATGTTCTAGCTATACCTTATCCAGCACAAGGCCATGTAATTCCTCTGATGGAGCTTGCGCAGTGCTTAGTCACAGCCGGTTTCAATGTCACCTTTGTAAACACTGAGTTTAACCACAAACGTGTAACTGATGCATTCTCAGAGAAAAATAACATAGGGGATGAGATACATCTGGTTTCAATTCCGGATGGGTTGGCATCCTCTGAGGACAGAAATGATTTGGGAAAGCTATCAGAAGCAATCTTTCGAGTCATGCCGGAAAAGCTTGAGGAGCTCTTAGTGAAGATTAATGAATCAGATAGCGAAGATATCACTTGCATTATTGCGGATGAGAGTATGGGATGGGCCCTGGAAGTTGCGGAGAAGATGGGAATCAGGCGAGCAGCCTTCTGGCCTGCAGCAGCAGCAATGTTGGCCTTGGGATTGAGCATTCCCAAGCTAATTGATGACAAAATCATAAACAATGAAGGTGAGACCTTTTGCCTCCAACTTTGCATAAACCAGACATAAAAATTAATACCAGTTTTGACAACATTGCAATTCAAAGTATGAACTTTTATATGCTTGGGGACTAGGGAAATGTATTGGGAAATAACCATCAATAAGGTGAAAAATTTACAATAGTGAAGTCAAGCAGATAAAACCATGCAGCAACACATAACCTTAGAGAGAAAAAATAAATCAATAAAAGGCATATAACTTGTCATTGTAGAAAAATGTGCAATAATTCCAAAATTCTGCATATAACATGAAAGTCATTCATAATAGTTATGAATACTATAGAAAAGATGTTGTGTATTAAGGATGTATTACAATAACAATAGATATAACCAAAAAAAAATTGGTAGCAAGTCCAGAAATTTTATCACGATGCATCTAAAGAGGTTTAAACTCTAAGGTCATTCACAGACTGGATAGCCTTCCAAAGGCGTGAATCTAAGGAAAAACAAAAATGTTACACTAAAGATCAACCCAAATAGTACACAACAGGCTAGAGTTAACCATCTTGGTTATTGTTATTATTACTATTAAAATAAAGAACATTTTCTTTCTGTATCCTCCAGACCTACTGGAAGGAATCACCTCTTACCCTCCCTCCCTTTAGTTTCTTTGTATCACTTCTTATTGCACTCTGGTACAAAGTACGATCAAAGGAGACTTCAGCCATGAAATTTTTGGTTTCTAATGGGATTCATACTGCAGGATTTCCAATTAATAACCAGATGATTAGGTTGTCACCAACCATGCCAGCCACGAGCACAGCACACTTAGCATGGACCTGCATTGGTGACGTGACCACCCAAAAAATTATTTTTGAAGTTGTGGTGAGAAATACCAAATCTGTGAAAGTAGCGAACTGGCTGATTTGCAACTCAACTTATGAGCTAGAGCCTGAAGCATTTACCTTGTTTCCAAACATCTTACCAATAGGTCCACTTTTGGCAAGCAATCGGCTTGGAAACTCAGCAGGTTATTTCTGGCCAGAAGACTCAGCCTGCCTGAAATGGCTTGATCTACAACCACCCAGATCAGTCATCTATGTAGCATTTGGGAGCTTCACAATCTTTAACCACAACCAGTTCCAAGAACTGGCTCTGGGACTTGAGCTCACCGACAGGCCATTCCTATGGGTTGTGAGGCCAGATTTAACTCACAACACAATTGATCCTTACCCAGAAGGATTTAGAGACAGAGTAGCAGCTCGTGCACGAATGGTGGGTTGGGCACCTCAACAAAAGGTCCTGAGTCATCCTTCTGTTGCATGCTTCTTAAGCCATTGTGGTTGGAACTCTACCATGGAGGGTTTGAGCAATGGAGTCCCTTTCCTGTGCTGGCCTTACTTCGCAGACCAGTTTCTTAATCAGAGCTACATTTGTGAGGTTTGGAAGGCTGGATTAGGGTTCAAACCAGATCAAAGTGGAATCATAACACAAGGAGAGATTAAGGATAAGGTGGATCAAGTGCTTAGCAACCAGAAATTCAAAGAAATAGCTTTGGAGCTTAAAGAAAAGGCTAGAGGTAGTGTCAGAGAAGGTGGCTGTTCTCACAAGAATTTCAACAATTTCATTGAATGGATGAAAGCATAGACAAAATTAAAGAGAACTTCTATGTGAAATTCTTGCCTATCATAAAGAACAATGAGGCCTAGAAAATTAATTGCACTGTTAAAAATTGCCTAATTTTGCAACGGAAGTTTAGCTCATCTTAGTGTTTGGATGTAACACTAAGTCTCAACTCTGAAGACTGTTATGATAGAAAATTGCCTAGGCAACTCCATATTACATGTCAAACTTTAAATTACTGCAATTATTAGCTATAATGCCAATGCTACAAGTTGATAACTCAAGACAGAGGACGTAAAACTCCAAAAACCATTTGGGCTAAAAACATCTGTACATACCTGATGTTTTTTCTTGTTTAGCTACAAATGAGCACATTTGGATGTTACAATCACTCCAGCCATATCCTAATTTTCATATCATCATACCTTGATTCCATTTTTATCCCTTTATTTGTAAGGCTAAAAGCATTTTTTGGACATACAAGCGTTAATATGTGAACTCGAATGCGCGAGCAACTTCATCCGTGTACAAGAAACCATGTTTGATAACAAAAGTTTAACAATTCTTCACATCTTTCTTAATTCCATATCATATGTCACAGGTTGGGAGCTCGAATTTCCTTGGGACCACACTCAGGGAATTTCCCGGTTATTTTCTTGCGCATGTGGGACGGGAGAATGCATGTGACCAACTGTAGATTTTGGGATGCAGTTACATAGGAGAATAAAACTGAAGCTAAGATATCCCCAGGGAGAGAACAATATAATGTATGAAGACAAGGGAAATCAACCAAATATCAGTAAAATCCAGTAACAAAGGACAAAATTAATACCAGCAGACATGAGAAAATGCCAAGGAAGAGTAGATCAATTTCAACTGTGAGACTCATAAAAACACCAAAGCAAATGGACCCCATTTTAGCATAGGATTCTCAGTCATATATGCCACCAGAAGTAAATGTAGAGTTCTTTACGAAGTACTTGTAATACTAGCAAAATCTGTACAAATTCAGTAGAAGAAGTAAAGATGGGCAAGCCACACGTTCTAGCTATACCTTACCCAGCACAAGGCCATGTAATCCCTCTGATGGAGCTTGCCCAGTGCTTGATCACAGCCGATTTCAATGTCACATTTGTAAACACCGAAGTTAACCACAAACGGGTGACTAATGCATTCTCGGAGAAAAATAACATAGGGAATGTGATACATCTGGTTTCAATTCCGGATGGGATGGCGTCCTATGAGGATAGAAATGAATTTGGGAAGCTATCAGAAGCAATCGTTCAAGTCATGCCTAGAAAGCTGGAGGAGCTCATTGTAAAAATTAATGAATCAGATGGCAATGAGATCAGTTACGTTATTGCGGATGAGAGTATGGGATGGGCACTGGAAGTTGCCAAGAAGATGGGAATCAGGCGAGCAGCCTTCTGGCCTGCAGCAGCAGCAATGTTGGCCATGGGATTCAACATCCCCAAGCTAAATGATGACAGAATCATAAACAATGAAGGTGAGACCTTTTGCCACTAAATTTACACAAACCAGACAAAAAAATTGGCAATTGATGCAAAATACCAGTTTTGAGAACAATGCAACTTCAAAGTATGAACTTTTATATGCCTGGGGACTAGTGAAATGTATTCTTTTTCAGGGCAAACTAGGAAAATGTATTGGGAAATAACCATTTAAAAGGTAACAAAATATTCAATACAGAATTTAAGCAGATAAAACCATGCAGCAACGCATAACATTAAAGAAAACAATTAAATAAATAGCCTTTAACTTGTCATTGTAGAATAATGTGCAGTAATTCCAAAATTCTGCATATAATTTGGAAGTTGCTCATGATAAAATTTTAGACTTGTTACTACCATTTTTGTCATTATTGCCCTGGAAGTTGCCAAGAAGATGGGAATCAGGCGAGCAGCCTTCTGGCCTGCAGCAGCAGCATTGTTGGCCATGGGATTCAGCATCCCCAAATTAATTGATGACAGAATCATAAACAATGAAGGTGAGACCTTTTGCCACTAAATTTACATAAACCAGACAAAAAAATTGGCAATTGATGCAAAATACCAGTTTTGAGAACAATGCAACTTCAAAGTATGAACTTTTATATGCTTGGGGACAAGTGAAATGTATTCTTTTTCAGGGCAAACTAGGAAAATGTATTGGGAAATAACCATTTATAAGGTAACAAAATATTCAATAGAGAATTTAAGCAGATAAAACCATGCGACAACACATAACATTAAAGAAAACAATTAAATAAATAGCCTTTAACTTGTCATTGTAGAATAATGTGCAGTAATTCAAATTTTCTGCATATAATTTGCAAGTTGCTCATAATAATTGTGATTTAACTATAAGAAAAGTCTTGCATTAATTTAAGGATGAATTACACAATAATAGCAATAATGACAAAAATGGTAGTAACAAGTCTAAAATTTTATCAGGATGCATCTATGAGATTTAACCTAAGGTGATTCACAAACTGGATAGCCTTTCAAAGTGTGAAATGAATCAAAGGGAAAGCAACAGTGTACACTAAAGATCAACCCAAATGGTACACACCAGGCTTACGTTAATCATTTTGATTATATTTATTACTATTATTAAATAAAGACCATTCTCTTTATGTATCCTCCAGTCCTACAGGAAGGAACCACCTCTTACCTTGCCTCCCTTTATTTTCTTTGTATTACCCCTTATCGCGTTCTTTGGTACAAAGTACTATCAAAGAGACTTTGGCCATGAAATTCTTGATTTCTAATCGGATTCATGCTGCAGGATTTCCAATTAAAAATCAGATCATGAGTTTGTCACCAACGATGCCAACCATGAGCACAGAAAACTTAGCAATGGACCTGCGTTGGGGACACGACCACCCAGAAAATTATTTTTGAAGATATAGTTAGAAACATCAAAGCTGTGAAATTAGCAGACTGGCTAATTAGCAACTCAACTTATGAGCTAGATCCTACAGCATTTACCTTATTGCCAAACATCTTACCAATAGGTCCACTTTTGGCAAGCAATCGGCTTGGAAAATCAGCAGGCTATTTCTGGCCAGAAGACTCAACTTGCCTGAAATGGCTTGATCAACAGCAAGCCAACTCAGTCATCTATGTTGCATTTGGGAGCTTCAGAGTCTTTGACTACAACCAGTTCCAAGAACTGGCTCTGGGACTTGAGCTCACCAACAGGCAGTTCCTTTGGGTTGTGAGGCCAGATTTAACTCATAACACAACTGATCCTTCACCAGAGGGATTTAGAGACAGAGTAGCAGCTCGTGCGCGAACAGTGGGTTGGGCACCTCAACAAAAGGTCCTGAGTCATCCTTCTGTTGCTTGCTTCTTAAGCCATTGTGGTTGGAACTCTACCATGGAGGGTGTAAGCAATGGAGTCCCCTTCCTGTGTTGGCCTTACTTTGCCGACCAGTTTCTTAATCAGAGCTACATTTGTGAGGTTTGGAAGGTTGTATTGGGGATCAAACCAGATCAAAGTGGGATCATAGCAAAAGGAGAGATTAAGGATAAGGTGGATCAACTGCTTAGCAACCATAAATTCAAAAAAGGGCTTTGGAGCTTAAAGAAAAGGCTACATGTAGTGTCAGAGAAGGTGGCTGTTCTCACAAGAATTTCAACAATTTCACTGAATGGATGAAGGCATAGACACATTTGTCATGCTGTGAACAATCTTCATTTCATTTCTCATTTATTTGTTTTTGGCTTGAAAGTATTAAAAGGAAGAAGAGACTCATATACTGCAAAATTAAAGAGAGATTCAATGTGAAATTCTTGCCTATCGTAAGAACACTAAGGCATAAAAAATTAATTGCACTGTTAAAAATTGTGTAATCTTTCAAGGGAAGTTTAGCTCATCTTCGTGTTTGGATGTAGCATAAGTCTCGAGGTTGTTATGATGGAAAATCTTCACACCTGTATTATGGAGTGCACTAAGAACGGTTTAAATCAATCTAACAGTAGGATTTAAGTTCACTTACAGCATCATTGCTTTTCTGTTATCCAATTCCTGTACAACGTAATCGTGTTTAGTTCTTTATCAATTACATTCATATAGGAGAAAGTATAAAGGTTTGTCATGGACCAGCCATTGACACCCAACTGTTCCCTTAATAATCCAAATGGTGGTATTAAACCTAAACTCATAAGTTATCTCCAAACTATTTGGGATTACATATATAATTCCTATAATCATTTTGCATTTGCTCTATCTAGGTTACCTTCTGCTAGACAACACACTAATGCCCCCCCCCCCCCCCCCCCCCCCAAAAAAAAAAAAAAAAAAAAAAAACCCCACCCCACCCCCCCTTCTTCTGGTTCTAAATGGGTATATAGCACCTTGTATTTTGAAAATTTGTTGCATATTACACCCTTCCGCCAATGGACCATTAGAATATAGAAATAACTGTTAAAAAGCACACATGTGCCTAAAATTGCCTCTCTTTGTGTTCTCTCTCTTGCAAAGGCTAGAAGTTTCTCCCCCCCGGTTAGGTAAGCACTCACACACACTTCACAATATTGCCCACTACGGGGTTCGAGCCCCTCACCTCCCCTTTGAGGGAGGAGAGGCTATATCATTTCGCTAATGGCCCATTGGTAAGTGTATTGAATTGTTATTATGTTAGATATGGTTATTTCTCGAAAGTTACTAATTTACTAAGGATTATCAGGATCTTGTAAGGCCTCTAAATTGGCTTCTCAAGGGAAAATGAAACACATTTTTTGATGATCAATCAATAATGAGCATTGAAAGTTTCATCACTCATTATTGTTATTTATCTCCTCTAATTCTCTGTACCAATCTCTCTACTCTTATTTCACTATTATATTTGTCTAAGTTAATTAATTGAGATGCTGGGAAATCACTTTTGGCCTGTCCCAAAATATCACTTCTCTCACCTTTCTTGCCTCCCTCTTCTTTTCTTGTGAATGAGACTTTGAAGACACATTATAACAAATACAAGTACTTCCCACCTTCATTTCCCACAATCTACTCTAGCTCTCAAAATCATGCTATACTATCATCAATAGTTTGCACCCATAAGCCGCTTAACCGCGATATATAACTTGTCAGTATCAAATTTAGTTCGATTTTCACAAGGCGCAAAAACACTCCGGTTAACATACCTGATGTGTGAATGTGTGATTCGCGGGTGATTGCACATATCCGAGAGTCCAAAGTGGCTAGCGAGTGGG